CGCCTATGCGGCAGAGCACGATCGGGCACTTTGGACAACGGTACAGCACCTGTTAGCGGAGCAGGATGCGCGAGGACGGGAGTGGGATGCGGCGCGCCAAATCGCCTTCCTCCGCGGCATCTGGTGGCTTCGGCCTAGCAAACGCGGAGCGACTAGCCCCCGCGGCCTACTGGGCGGCTTGGGCGGACGCGCTCCAGGTAATGCTGCAGAGACGTTCGGAGGCCGCTCGTCGATACGCGCAAGAACTCGCTCTTGGCGGCGGGTCGACGGCACCTTGCCTGCGGGCAGCTGCGGCAGCGGGTGACAGGTTGCTCAGCGAAGGGTGGAGTGCGAGCTCGGAGTGGGATGACGTGCTCCACAGGGCGCGGCCGCCGCCTACGCACGCTGAGCCCTCAGAGCCTGGAAGTTGGCCTCATGGCTGGCAGAAGCTGGCAGCTCGCGTACTCAACACGTCCTATCGCGAGCGCCTCCTCAGCAGCCTGTCGCCGAGTTCCCGAGCTCTGCTGCGCTACCAGGCGGGCGCGCATGCCGGCGAGTGGTTGCGAGCCATCCCCACAGACGAGGGCACACAACTTCTGCCGTTGGCTATGCAAGTCGCTCTCCGGCGACGCCTTCGCTTGCCGCTGCCCTTGGCGTCGGCGAGCCAGGCTGCTGAGCCGTGGTGGACCAGCTGGGCGACCATCGCGCCGCCTGCCGCCGAAATGGGCCGCCGGCCAGGCGGGCTTCCATACTCGAGCGAGCATGGGGTCGCGTCGCGCGGGAAGCCGTCGCCGCCGAAGGGCGGGTGGTCCCCCAACAATGGCTGGCGCGGACCACCGTGCCGGGCGTAGCCCCAGATGACCGGCGCCGACTGGACCTCGTCATGTATGGCGCGTCTCGGCGCGGCGAGGCGCTCAGCTGCGATGTGACTCTGGTTTCGCCGCTGCAAGGAGTGAGATTGAACCGCTTTCTAACCCAAACTTCTCAAGGGGAAACCCCAGCACAGCTGTCATCCGAACCGGAAACCTCCCCACACGAGGCCCGGACCTGGAATGGAAAAACTTGTGTCTTCCGGTGTTGTTCTGAGTGCTTTGCGTTTTGCAAACCAGACAAGCTGTTTGTATTGGCCCAGTACAGTGCGCACTGCCTGTCCATGCAACAGTTCTCTCCGACTTGGAATAACACCGCTACGGAGTACAACCCTTCTTTTCTTTCTTTTGTATTGTATCCAAATCTAGACGGGCCGCTGGGGCTTCCATACACCGCAAACACCGCACCCTCTCCTGGGCCATGTACTTTACTTCAAAATGTTCCATCATTCAAGAGGCCGTTATTTACTTGTTTCAATGTTCGCACAACAAGGGCAAGCACATCTAGCTACGACAGAAGCTTGTCGGACGCGGTCATACGCAGGCTCGATGTGCTTCCTTTGCAGGTCTTGTGTTGTCTTGGGTCTTAAACTTTGCTGTTCGGAAACAAGTCCCAGCTGTGCCAGAGGGAGCATTCACCCAAAAATAGTTTTCATTTTCCTTTGCCTTGTTAGTGCTTCCTTGTGCTTTCCTCGTTGTCGCATCGTACGCTGTTGCTTTCTATGCAGAATGCACAACCCTCTGAGCCCTGTAGCCTTGGTTGAGTCTGCATATTTCCCGAGAAACTCTCCAAAACGGTCGGGGGTGCTGACGCGCGCAAGCGAAAGCAACAATCCCCTTGCTCCTAGCCCTGGCGAAGAAAGAGGGATGGGGAAAGCAGTTGCGTGTTGTGGCACATGGGCACAGGCACAGAAACAGTTCTATGACGAAACCAAGCAAACGAACCACGCCCTTCCTTCCGTCGGGTGGCTGAATCAAACCACTAGAGAATCACCGATCATTGCTACCGCTACCCAAGGATGTTCTTAGGCGTCCTCGCTTCCGGTTCCGGCGTATAGAATCCTGCAGGCGAACGGATGCTTTCATGATGTCACTTGTGTGGAGTTGAATCGTCCGTGCAAGCAAGCTGATTGTACAGTATCTAATGTTCGGTTGAACGCTTATGAATGGTGCTCCATGTTATGGGTTTCTGGGTCACACTAACTGCACGCACCTTGCAGGAGCACCCTGCTTTTTGTGCAGTTGCATCTGCGATGACCATCGCACGCTCTCGTGGTGTGGCTTACTCAGCTCATGCAAGAACGAGGACTGTTTGGTGGCGTTGAAACTTGTGTGTGTTGGATGCCAAGGTTGGGCCGCTGGACCAACGACGTTTCATGGATGTCTTCCGGGAGGTGTGGCTAGCTAGTTGGAGTTGGTTCGGGACTGTTGTGAAAGATCCATGCCATCCGTACCAGGTGGACATGCAAGCCCCTCTAATGTCCGCTTATGGCTTGGACGGGTTGGACAAGCTACCGAGTTTCCTGAAGTGACCCTGTTTGTGTGCGTGCTTTGAAGCAGAACGTCGCTTGCGCCGACCAGGTACGCTCTGCTCAGTCACTTGCAGTGCCCTCGTTTTTAGTGAAATACAGAAGCGATGTTGCATTGTTCACATAGTCAATCGTCATGATGCGGCGAACTGGAAAAGCATGTGCATGTGTCCAAAAAAGAAAATCTCGCCAACCGAAGATAAAGTAGACTGACTTGAATTTATCCCTTCCCGAGCGGCGTCGCTTTCCAGGCATGTGCAATCAGAACGGCTGCCAATTCGAGGGGTTTGTGCGGCCACACGGAATCCAAAACCAAGCGCGCTTCCTGTTTTCCCTCGAAACTTCGCTTCTGAAGTCATTGCTGAACGATTTGTCGCAGAGCAATGCTCGCTTGTGGCATTTGGGGCAGGTGCGATTGCGAAACTAGAAATGGGGTGACGTGCTGGACCTCGCGATTGCGAGCGCCCCGAGCCGGCTGCCGCTGCGCTAGCACCCCGTAGGCGCCTTTAGTTCGCAGCTTGCACTGGGACCGCGGCAGTTGCTCGAAAAGTTTCGTTGGAAAAAAGAAAAAAAGAAATGGAAGCTTATTCCTTTGTTCGCGAGATAGTTTTGCATGAGGAATCTGCGATACTTCCCGTACGCAGTACGCATGACACGAGGTCTAACATTCAGGGGCTGATGACGATGAACAGCCCGAGGATGGCTAACGGCTAACGCAAGCTAAAGCCATGTTATTGGTGAGGGATTTCGTTGGATGTGCATTCGGCAGGTATGATGGAGCGCCCTTGGCATTGCTTGCCGAGTGGTTTCGCATCTTGGGATTCAAGGTGGATCTTGTGAGTTCGGGCCTCGGGTCCGCAACCAAAGTGGGCTGTATACGTGTGCGAGTCTTGCGTAAAGTCGTGAAACGTATGGCCATGACATTAGGTGCAGCAAACATCAAAGAAGACACATTCCGAGCTGATGCGGGCCCCTGAGGGAGTTTAACACTGCTTCAGTAATGTTTGGTGCCATGGTTCTGATTGATATCGAGGTGGCGGCAGCTTTTGCATGCTGTCCACCAACAGCTACCAGTAGGCTGGTTGCCGCTTTGGTCCTTCAGCTTTGGGAAAGCAGTCTCATCGAGGCAGTACGTTCTTGTGAACTATTCCCGCACTGCACACAGACTTCGCGAATCGATGCTGCAGCTGCGACTCGGCTGTCGCAGAAGCCCATAGCGGAAATGCGCACTCAGGCTCCGTGGTCGGTCAACGAATGTTCAGCGGAGGTGCGACATTGGTCATAGATGTTGAGCCAACAACTGTGGCTCCGAGCAAGAAGTTCGGCATGTGCACGTGTCGGTTTTGAACAGTGGTCCCACTTAGCTTAGCTTGTTCTGACCATTCAGACCTGAACTGAAGCATGATGGTTCAGGCCACTACGCGTCGGGCTCTCAGCTTGCAGTGAAGCCACTGGTTCGTAGAAGTGCTCAGCACCATTGCCAGGCTCATGCTCATAAATTTACGACTGCGAAGGATACAATGGTTTCCAGGGCTTAAAAGGCAGTGATGCGACGATGTTTGCTAACAGGCGAGGATGTTGTGGATGCTTTGATACTTGGCCGGTGGTGGGGCCGACTCCGAAAAAAAAAATCTGGGCCGGAATTGTTCTTGCTGCAATGGTGGGCGTGTTTTCGAAGCGGTACATGGCAGAACAACTAGATGTCTAGACATAGTAACGAATCGTTTTCCAAAGCAAGGGACCGGCAACACGCTGCAGCCCTGATTCCACAACAACCTGAAAGCCACCGGCGGCCCACACTCGAGGAGGGAGCAGAAGGGAGGCGGAGGACGGTGCTGCATGATGCTACGGCGTTTGTGGGCTGTAGCATTCCTACACTATGCATGAGATGGCTCTCGATGATGGGCTATTTGTGCAACGTATGAAGCTGTTGGCAAAGAGTTTTGGCAAGGCCGATCGGAGGCTTCAATGCAGAAGAGGACAAGGTGAGCCAGTCGGACAAAGAGCAAGCAAGCAAGAGAGCGAGAGCGAAGAGAGTGAGCAGTTGGCTACAGTGTAGGTGTTGCTGCTGGAAGTGAATTCTTGGCGCTATCCCTCTGCCGCAGCCTTTGCAGTCTTGTGCATGTGGTGATCAAACTTCGAGCTGTTTGCTGCGTGTTACGGATCCAACGCTGGCTTGTAGCCTGGCATTTGTTCCAGTAAGGTGTGGGTTGATCTTCCGCGCCTGTGGCTTGCGACTCACACGCAAGCGACGCACCAAGCGATTCAGTGTGACAGCAACTAGCGACTGTGCTTGATCAATTCCCACATCTCAATTTAGCCGAGGTCGCCAACGGCAACTGGCGAGGGTACCTTCGCATCCAGACGCTTGCGTGATGGATTGTTGAAAAAACAAGGATTAGATTTGGCTTTCTTCAGTTTTCTTGAGCTGGTAGCCTCCCGGTTTGGCGTGCGGCGCCCAGCAGGCATCTCCATCTCAAGTATTCGCCCAGAAATGCCCGGAGTGGAGTAGCACAGACTCTTCTCGGCACGTGTGCAAAGCCCATTCAGATGGACTGTGAGATTCTACGATTCTACGGGTAGCACACAACTGAAGTCGCGGCTCTTGCAATGCAGTTCCGCAATGTGGCTGTTGGCCCTTGGGTTACTGGGAGGATTGATCTCATGTGCGTATGGAATCAGCTCCTTCGGTCAAGATTGAGCTCATTGTGGTTTAGCGTTTTGTGATTTGTACGATGCGGCAGCGAAAGCACATCGAATCAACACAAACAGTGCCGGGACTTGTCATCCAGGATGAGAGAGACTTGAATTGTAGGCTTTGCGGCAAACTCACAACATTCCGCGTGCCTTCCTCAGGGTACCTGGCACATCTGCTGAGGCCTTGTGCAGTACTGGCGGAGATGTAGAAGTGACGAGTTCGAAAGATTTGTGGGACCGCTGGAAATATGGTCGGAGATGCTGGTGCAGTGCCCTATGCTTTTCTTGTTGCTGGGACTCGCGATTCCAGGTGCTCTTGGTTTCCTAGGAGTACAGGCGGCAGCATACGCGCCGAAAGTAGATCTTGATTTCGCTGGCTACTTGGCCGTGGATTTGCCCGTGCAGTTCACCCAAAATGCAGTGGAGGAGTGGTGTCCATCCGTGGGTGACTCTGTGTGCGAGAACCCGTGGTGCCCTGAGGAGGCCATCGCTCAAGAAACCTCTCAAACACAGAGAAGCGATGATTGGGCAGGGCGGCTTTTTTGAAAGCGATGTGTGCCGTGCATCTGCCCGCATAGACAGGTTCATGTGCGATTTTGAAACAGTACGCACTGAGGTGGCGCTTTCCAGGCTCTGCCCCCGTGTATTCAGTGGAGAGCACTGGATCAGGCAGCACAGCTACGCCGGGCTTTGTCAGCTTCACGTGTCGCCTATGCAAGATGGCGGTAGGCCGGCGGCTGGCTTCTACACAGTCACAGAGCTGGTGGGAGCTCAACATCTTTTATGAGGATCGCCACTTTCGCGAGACAGCACTCCAGTTGAATGCGAATTAATAGATTCTGCATCCTGTGCAGGCTTTGGACTCAAAAGTCGGCGTTTTCACGGAGCAGGCGCTGCAAGCTCGGGTCCTATGCCCATGCTAAAACATGAACATGTGCGGAGTGCTGGGTCGTGTACTTTAAGCCTGGCGTCTTGAACCACGCTGCGACTTCCGTCATGAGTTGATTCCACACTCAGGAAATACTTACTTTCGAAGACCTTGTTCAATCGATGCAGATGTACGACGAATTCTGCTGGAAGTCCAACGGTAATTGCAAGGCCTGGTGTCGGCACTCGGAACATGCGCACGGAAAGACCATAGCATGTATGGATTTGATTGAAGGTGCCGCAGTCTCCGACGAATCTCTTTTTCCATCTTGAGTAACTTGGCTGCAGCACGGTGCAGCAAACTCGGCATGTATGAAGGCGGGTGTGTGGCTGAGTGTGGATATGTGGAACAGGCCTGGCCAGTCTGACCATGAGCTGCAAGACATCAACGAAACGCTGAGGATGATGCTCAGGAGAACTCAGAAAGCACAACTCATTGAGAGCATGTAGGTACTGAAACAGACGGGTGATGCTCGTCGATTTGAGCAGGAAGCGCATCCTCTATTTCACTGACAAAGACTTCAGTGCTCTCCATTTGCAGAGCAACTACACGCGCAGCACGTTTGTTGGTGGAATACCGCTAAGCGGGTACAACAGATGGCAGACCAGGCCATGTGAGCGGGATCCTCCCACTTAAACGAGGTCTTTTGTCTTGTCTTCTCTGCAGATGGGATGAACAACGTCGGAAGCACGAGGCCTTCCTGGTCGAGTTGTATACTGAGGCGCGCAGTGACTCTCCGAGCTCATAATTTCTTGCTCGTGGAGTGTTGTGATGCCCTGACAATGAATTGAGTCTCACATAGATGTGACTGAGAAAACCACCTCCAACGGAGTCGAAGCGCACAGAAGCGGCGAGGAAAACTCATCTGTCAATGAATTGCCACCGTTTGCGAGGTGGCTGAAGCACAATCAAAACTTTCGGTCTATCGGTGCCCGACCTCTCAATGGGCAATGTGCCACAGTGCATGAAGAGTTACATGCATTTGGTTCGTTGTCCGTCTTGCGATGCGTGTGTGTGTGTGTGTGTGCGTGTGCGTGTGTGTGTGTGTGTGGGAAAAGTTGTGTGTTTGTGTGTTTTGCATCAAAGCCGCGGGGTGGCAAGACACGTGCGGCACAGGCCAAGGACGGCGCAGTCTCCCGTGACCAGCTGCAGACCTATCCGCATCCAGCATGAACGGAAGCACGCACGCACCGTGTCGCCAAGTGGCATGTAGTCGGTCAGTGGCTGGACTTGTGCCGAAGACGAGAACAAAGGCATGCACAGGAGTTGAGAACGTTGCAGATTGCACCATTTCTTCGGACACGGATAAGGGTGCAAACATAACAGTCGCGGTCCAGTGCTATTGTTTGCAAAATCCGCAAATCCGACGACAAATGCGGCCGTGGTACATCCCGAGTAACACAGCGACATGATAGAGGTGATGGTGGTGGTGCTGATTCCAATTGAGCACAGCTTGAGTTTGTGCTGTGCTTTGCTCGTACTTGCAGCCGGAAAAGCCTCGGTCGTGGTCCGTACCGGCCAAGTTTTTCCTGCTGCATTCTATCAGACCGTGGCTCAGCAAAGCCAGCAGCACTCACGCTGTTGTTTCCTTTCATTCTGTGAGGGTTCACAGGTGCTGAGCCGTGCAGACGATGGACCTCGGCCACTCAACTTTGAGCACGTGAAAATCACCTGGTTCGAGCCCATGCTGAAGGACTATGAGGTACGCAGGGAATTCAATTTTGTCTTGAAAAGGTGGCATTGAAGACCTGTTTGGAAAGCTTCGACGAGGTCAGCAAATGGCTCTTCCACGATGCCGCGTGGTGCGTGGGTACATTCGCGGTGGCATCTTAGCTGTCACCATGTGGTTGGTCGGATGAAGTGGCTGAGAAACATCCCAACATCTGTCAGCCTTGCAGGTCGCAGTTCTGATCGTGTTGAATCTTCAGAGCTTTTGCCTCATGGTCTTCGGAATGCTGGGTGTGCTCTTGGCTTTCGCCGCAACCTTCTACTTCCACACTGTAGTCTTGGAGTACAAGTCGCTGACCGTTCTGGACTTCTTGTCACTTTTTCTTATCGTTGGCATTGCCGCTGATGATATGCCTCTTGGTACTATTGGACAATCCGTTGAACATGTCTCCAGCTTGCCTGGCCCTGCTCGGAATGCCAGCAGCAGGTTCATCCTGTGCCATACCTATCGCCTGGCTCCTGCCGTTCTCGGTCCTCGGGCGGGGCCCAGGCAATGCATGAAATGGGCTTACAAGCATGCGGGCGAAGCCATGCTCGCCAGCGCCTTGGACACCCTGCAGCTTGCTGCATTTGCGATCCAGGGCTGAGGAATGTAGGGAGTCGCGTGTCCAGAAGTCAAAGAGCCTGGGTTTGCAGGTCACCACGGTAACCACGGCAGGATCCTTCTATGCGAATTGCATCTCTGTGTTGCGCGTTGTGAAGCAGTTCGGCTTCTTCATGGGCAGCTTGGTCCGAGAGAGTCCCATGTTGCACTGCTGCACTTGCACTTCTGCACAGATTGGGGCTTTGTTTGTGCATGCGTCTAATTTAAATCTCATTGTTCGCCGTGCCTTGTTGTATGCGATTAGATGCAGTGCATAACAAGCTCGAGGTACCTTGGTCGTTTGGAACTATATTAACGTCATGATGATTCTACCTTCAGCCGTCCTTGTGGCAGAGAAGCATGTCAGCAAGCAGGATGAGGTCATGCTAGCTACAGCACCTTGTGGCCAGTTTCAGCCAGCTGCGCGCCGTAGCTTCGACAATCTCAGGATCTATGTGTGGCCGTGCATTGGGTGGCTTTTATCATGCCTCACCTGTTCTGCAGATGCAGAAGGACGGACGCCCTGGTTGCCTGTCGATCGGGTTGCGTGAGCTAACCCCCAATGACCTTCCGCATTACTTCGATTCAAGATAGTGTGCTTGTCCAGGGGGTGTCGACGAGTTCCAAAGCCTGGACGTGTCCAGAATCACTTCTATTCTCTCACTGCCTTCTGACTGGACGGACAATATGCGAGCGTCGCAAGCATCATGGGCATCTTCTGCGCACAGCGCGGAGACTTGACGCTTGGCTACGAGCCACAGTTTCGTATGTCTGTTCACGCTGTGAGATCGGTTGCTTTAGAAACTGCAGCGTGAGCTTTAAAGCTTAAAGCCTCGGCAGCAGGCACGATCGGGCGGCCTTCCAAGACATCCACGTGGACAAGGCTGGAGGGTGCTCTGAGCTGCCTGGTTTCAAGGAGCGAACTTGCAACTCGGCTTGCCAGCTGGCGAGGCGATCAGCGCTGGCATATCAGACCGCACGCTCGACTGTCAATTCTGTGTCAATGAACGTGAGGCTCGTCTGCCTGCTGAGACAGTAAGTCGAAAGCAATACATCTGCCGCTTCTGTTTGGATTCCAACGTCACGGAAACCCATGCTGGCAAACCCAGACCAACCCGAGAGCCGACGCCAAGCCAGCAAAGGGTATAATATAGCATAACACAGTGAATGATACAGTTAATGCATGTATAATATAGTATAATATGGTATCACCACAGTATACTATGGTATAACAGTACAACCTGGTATAGCATAGTATGATGTAATATAAAATGGGGACAACATAGTAACGTAGTAGAATGCTGTGCTGCATAATATAATAATGTGCTCAACTAGGCCGCCTGGAGCCAAGAGCCTAGACTCAACACGACCATCACTTTTGACAATTGTAAACTCCACATTGGCTGTGACGCTTTCGTGAGCTGCCGCCCGCTGAACCGCAAGAGAAAGCACTACGAAAGAGACACATGCATTGATGTCTAGTGGCAAATCATAGATTCCATAGATGCCTAAGACGGCTGGGTGTGTAAGCCTTCCGCCGTCAGATCGTGAGACTAGCAAAGCGCACGATCTCTCAGCTCCGTCCAGGACCTTGGCTTCGCGTGCGACCATGACGGTCCGCGGCTATGTTTGTAACCTGCAATGATGTGGTGCTCAGTGAAACATCAGCCGTGTTGGGCTGCGACAATCTTCTGCAATTGTTGGTGATCGCGTGTGCCTTAGCATTAGTGCGGCTATTCAGTTGCAGTAGTTTAAGCAGAGAGTCCGGTACAGGGTCGGTGAGAATAGCTTCTCCATGTAGGACTGCGCGACTGACCGGCAGCTGTAGCAATGCCGACCTTTTGCAACCGATCAAGGCATCAAAGACTTCTGCGGTGCATAAAAGGCACTTCCGACACAGGCTTTACTATAGACCTGTCAGATATCTGATATCTGCCTCGGCGGTACTCTTCTCGATACTGTTTCGACCTACAGCCTGCAGCTCCGAAGCCTACGTAGGTCATGATCAAACGCGAGATGGACACGGACGAGCTCAGCAGCTTTGAGAACTTTCTCCATGGGAGGTGCCATCGCATTCTTTTTCGTGGCCGCTGCTGCTGGGTGCTGCTGCTGCTTGCTTTTCAATGGGAAGATCGAAAGTCTGGGTCCATATGTAGTGCAGCATAGTATGATTATAGATAATCATAGTATACTATAGTATCCTGTCAAGGATATGATACCTCTTCCAGAGCTCTGCCGGAGCCGAGGTCTAGCGCGGTCAGCATCCTGGGCGCATACGCAGCTATTACAGGCTTCACGCTTGCAACAGGAGCCTTCGGTATCTATGTTAGGTTGGGCCACAGATTGGTCGTGGAGCTATAGCAGTTTGGAAGCTCGAAGGTCATTGTCTTTCGTTTTTGGCCGAGGCGTTTTCATTCTTGTCTTGTTTTCCTTGATGAGCGTGAAATCCGCTGTCACGGCTAGAAGTTGAGAGTCGGGATCCGGCTTTGTTGAGACATGCGATGCTGGGCGAGTGCCATGGATTCTGACAAGAAGTTCCCCTTCCCCGGCATAATAAACAGAGCCTCGTGACCACACATCCAACAGCTGACGCAGCATGTCAGTTCACGCGCTCGCTTCCGTCCGCACAAGCATACCATCTCTCCCACTACTGTATGATGTACTGTGCTGTTTTGACCTCGCAAGAACATCCCTGACGAAACGCCGGGATGGCTTTGCTGGTGCAAGCTTTTTTCAGGAGGCTTGCAGGTCTTCCCGGAGTCTGTGAATGCCGGTCGTCTGGAGAAGCTTCTCGGCGAGGCGCCGCCAGTTTGAGCAGATGCCGAGAAGTCCAGCTGATTCGACTACACACAGCTTTCGAGGTTTTTCCATCCACCACCGACATATCAGAATGGGATGCCCAAACCATGGAAACGGCATCGACGGGCATGTCGGATCTTGTCTCGAACGGGAACGCGGTCAACAGATCATGCCCAGGCAGCCAAGATTAGTGAACGGAGTCCTGTTGTCCACATGTTCATTGCGCCAGCCTCGAACAGGATGTGTGCATGGCGCATGTGGCGGAGATGGTTCGTGTGTTTGCGAAGAAGGCTGGAGCGGCTCCACTTGTGAAGATTACTGCCCTGGCCTTCCTGCCTGTGGTGGCCCCCAACGTGGCCGCTGCGGCGTGGTGAGCATCGCCCAAAACGAAAGTGCGAGGATCGTGGGCCTTCTTGCTGTCTGGTACATGTCTTCAGCATTCTTGAGCGCACGTTTTGGCAGGAGGTGCGTGTGCCAAAGCGGATTTAGCGGAGATGGCTGTGACAGTTACTCTTGTCCTCCTTGCCTGAATGGGGGCAGCTGCCTGTTTTCAGAGGACTGCGTCAACGGCCATCATTGCGCCGTCACGCCGTTCGCGCAAAATACGGCTTGCGACCTGTGCAGGATGTCGACAACCGCTCAGTGTGCCAGTGCCCTCCTGCTTATGGCCTGATCCTCATACGTTTGATCTGCAGCATGGGGCAATATAAACTCCATGGGTCAAGTCATTCCCTGTGCAGGTGGCGACCGTTGCCAGGAACGGCTATGCCCGGCAAACTGCAGTGGTGCAGGTGACTGCATCGATGGTCGATGCTCTTGTTGGCTTGGAGCACATGGCGAAAGCTGCAACGAGACTTCTGTGACTTGGCCTGAGGGTCGCAGTTGACCGAGCCGGTCGTAAGCGTTGGCGATACAGGTCCGGGGTATGACGGGATGGACCTCAGGGTTCAGGCAGAGGGGGCTTCATGTGAGACATCTGGGACAGTCTTTGGGGATCCTTGCAGTCCACGGCTGGTTAGTCGCAGATGTCAGAGTTCGCAAAGTTTGCGGGTTGTGTGCACTTTGATGCGGACGCCAGTGGCTTGCTGCAGAAGGCTCGGAGCACAGCAAGCCAAGGTGTCATTGGAGCCACTGACCGACTGTGTCCAGATCTCCTTGGTGTGGGGCACCTGGGCACGCAGCATCAAGCTGTGGGCGCACTCCTTTTTGGGCTTCAGCGAGCTGCCCCCCCCCCGAGTGTCCAGAGCCAGGTATTGCAGGCTATAGAGCAGATAATGTGTCTGCTCCAGAGTATTATCCGGCGTTTGATTTGCTGGATCCGCAGGCTGGGGGTACAAACACAGTGGTATTGTGTACTTCCCACAGATTTCCAGGTGCAGCTGTGGATGTTGCAAGCTTGCACGGCAGCGCGAAACGACACTTCGCTTCTAGTTCGGCCAGAGGCACGCCGGACATGCTGCACCACACGCGATGGGCTTTCACCCCTTGCAGCCAGGTTCCCTGCTGGATCGAAGCCTGGCGTAGCTTCGTCGTCACAGTCGGCGGCAGTTTTCCCGTGGCCCCAAGGAGAATTGCAGGTGTGTGGCTGTGCTGTGCCACAAACCCTGTCCCTCTGTCAGAGCAGGAGCTTGGCGTCGGAAGCACTGCAAGCTTTTTTCCACCAGGAGGGCTCTGATGCCTTCCAGAAGGATCTGGCAGATGCCGACAACTTCACAGGCATGGGCCTTGAAGCGCCTCCGGGTAACTCTGGATAACTCTAGTGACTCTATTGGTTACTGGTTGAGGACATCCAAAGTTTGCTGTCATGCGGATGCTGATCAATGCTCCACGCAACGGTGGACTGCCCTTGTTGCTTAGCTTCAGCTTCTGTGGGGCAGCCTGAGATCGCATGTGGCTGTCACCAAGGCTTCTGCCGCTGAAGGATAAATGGATGGTCTTTGTGGCAGACCTCAACAGAGCTTGGTCTAAAAAGGCTACTTGTAGCTTGTTTCGACCCCGTGCGACAGCCAACAAACGGTGTCGCAGGATGTTTAGTGGAAAGCCAAGTAAGGACTTGCGCCGCTTTCGGCAGGCTCTGCTCTCATGGTATCCCAGACATGGACGGCGACAGACATGGACTCCCGGCTGCTGGTAACTTGTTTGAGGCTTACAGCTCACCGCACTTCGGTCCAGTCCCACTGTGACAGCGAGCTAAAGGCCAACGAAGAACCCTAATCTGCAGAAGGTCGCTACAGCACCTTCAAATTCAGTAATGTCCCAGCCCAGCCAATGTCATTTCAGGAGTATTCGATCATGTCCAAGACGGTGGCATCGCTAATCCTGTCCATTGGCATCGCAGTTGCTTGTGTCGTGGTCTTCAGCCAGAATGTCTTGATTGGACTCTTCGTCCTGCTTACTATTCTCTTGGTTGCTGGGATGCAGGCAGACAATGTGTCTGTGATGTGGATTCGAGGGAAGCTACCGCAAGGGACTGTAATCGGGCTAGGCTAAGCCTGCATTGTGACGGAATGACTTTTCACAGCTTAGTAACTCTTGAGAAGGAAGGACACGTAGCTTGCACCTTAATCATGAGTGGAGAGGAGCATGGCAACCAAGGAAGTCTGCCCGCTTTTCGGCTTCCTTTTCGGAGTAATGCGCTACGAGTTCGGTGCCATCGAAGCCATCGGTGTTGTAACCTTCGTTGGTATGAGCGTTGACTACTGTCTGCACTTGGCACACGGCAGCTCAACTGCCAAAATTGCCTTTCCGGAGATATTAGGTTGTGGTGCAGCTTGACACTTGCACCCAGCCAGAGGCTATCATGTAGCGGAGAAGATGAGCCGCAGTGCCACTTATCTTGCGTTTCAATTTGGGAGAAGAGTTCCGCTGTCTGGCTTTGTTGGGGTGGACAGGTTTGGGGGAGTGTGGTTGAATGCGCTGATAGGGAAAACTGGAAGCCAGGACGGAAGCACAGGAGGACGGAAGATAGGAAGAGAAGATGGAAGGTTGGCGGGTGAGACGTGAAGAGAGGAGGGCAGGCAAGGAACCAAGAAAGGAATGTAGGAGCATGTTTGGCATTGTGGACGAATTTCCCATTCAGGATGACCCTGGGACTTCCAAAGGACCTCCCCCTTCACCCAAAATCACATCACGACATCGCATATCTGTTTTCCAGCGGATCTGTGCCGTGAGCCAAATAGGGGCCGCCGTCAATCGCACATCAACGAGAAGGATTGTTCTTGTTTGTTGGTTTTCCACAGTCTGTACTTACGTCACTTACGTCCATAACCATCACAGGATGTCGCGCCTTCAGAAGCAATGGGTACAGAGGATGCCTCTCCGAAAGCCAAAGTAAAGAAACATAAACTACCCGCCGCATGTTTTTTTGGTCGTTGATTTTTTGGTGAAGTTGTGTTCTCACGACAGTTTTAAGCA